CCTGGAAATTGAATATATGGTTGTAAAATAAACTAATTGAAGAGCTGGAGGGTATTTAAGAGATGTTCCAGAAAGTAGAACCCAAAACAAAGAGTCCTAAGAGGTGAGAAAATAACAAACATAGAAAGGGAACATCTTATAATAGAAGTTCCAGAAAGACAGAACAGAGAAAATAGAGGAAGTTAACATAGAAATAATGCAAAAGATTTTTCCACATTCGAAGAACAAGAGTCTCCAAATTAAAATGGATAAATGAAAAAAGACCCGAACACCACTGTAAAATTTCAGAAAAATCAATCACAGAGAGAACATACTAAAATCTTCAAGAGAGAATGAGAAAAGGGGAAAAAAGGTCCTATAAAGAAATGAGAATCAGAATGACATTGGATTTCTTATAACAGCATTGGATGATAAAACACAGGGAACAATATTTTCAAAGTTCTGGAAGAAGCTTACGTTCAACCGAGAATTATATATGCTGCTAAAGTATTGCTCAATTATCCGGACAGAATAAAACTATTTTCAGAAATGCAAGAAAGAAAATTTACCTACCATACATCCTTTGTTAGAAAATTATCTGTGGATGTGCTCTAGCAAAATAAATGCAGAAATCAAGAAAGAATAAATCATGTGATTCTAGACAGTGGATTTAATTCAGAAAAATGAAAGAAATCCTAGAAAGATAGCTGTGCATCAGATTTAGAAAGTGACTAGTCTGAAAGCAGCATGTTAGAGTGCTCAAGAAGGGTCTTAAAAAGAGGAAGAAAGCTTCATAGATTACTTGTCATGATTGAAAATCTGGAAAAGATTGGAAACAATTCAGACAGTAATTCTAAAAGGAACTGAATATTAAAAAAAGCAACTGGTAATTGTAAAACAAAAACAAGAAAGGCAGTATAATCAGAGCCTATGACTGTTCTGCAGTGAACAATTTTTACATAGTCAATATTTTGATTTTTAACTTTTAGATCAATTTATAGTCAAAGTGCAAGGCTTAACTATGGTTATAAAAATAGTAACACTGACAATATAGATGTAAAAGTACAAATGACAGAGCTTGAGAGATGAAGCTGCAAGAAGGTATGTGAAAATATGAAGGGATAGTAATATTCTCATTTTACAATCTGGTGAGTGAACAAATATTGTTTTTATTTGAAGGATAAGAACATGATTCTATGAATATGTTACTAAAAGGTACAAAGTGCAAGGATAAGATATAGAAGAAAAATTTAAAAGCCGGTTATTAGGATGGTGATCAACAATGAGAAATGGATAGAAATTATGGTATATCTTGATGGAATGTCATACAGTCAATAGAATGGATGACATTTAGATATAGGAAAATATCTGAGATGTAATTTTAAGCAAAAAAGATTATAAAATTTTAGTCCTAAAATGTTATCTAGTTATTTCTAGATGATAGGCTTATGGAGGACTTTTTTATACTTTATTCATTCAACACGTTTTCTATAGTTCATCCTTTCAAAAGATTTATTAGGTATCTACCATGTTTTGGCACTGTGCTAGAGGCTGGTGTAACGAATATGGCAGTTTATAAATACAGTCAAGTCTTGTCACAGAGTTTATTTTACAGTCTAACAAAGAAGATACATATTATATCAGTAATGATTAAAAATTGTGAGTTTTATGACTTTTGTGGTGTTAGGAGAATATACAGCACAGGTCCTAAACCTAATCTGGGAATCTGGGAAAGATTCCTTCAATCAATTACCTTTCAGTATTAAATAAGAGAGTTTTGTTTTGTTTTTAAAGTAGAGATTCACAATTAGGAACACAGTGTTATCTCAATTACATAAAATGTATGAGCTCAGGAAAAATTCTCAAGGGAAACAACATAATATTAACTGAGATTATCTTTAGATTCTGGACTAGAAGGGAGTTTTGTATCTTCTTTACACTTTTCTATTTTTTCCAAATTTTGTACAGGAGGATGCATGTCTTTCATAATTAGAAGAGATTATTAGAAGTTACTGTTATCAGTGAAGTAGTTAGATATTTGTGCTGTTTGAGATCCTTTCCATAGCCCTACCTTAGTAGTTACTAAGCTATCTGAAGCACAGTAAAAACAATTACCAACCACCTGTACACCCTAGGTATTTTTAAAGGCTGTCAATCGAGGTCATAGATTCATTTCAACAAATGTTCATTAGTAAACTTGGAGACTTTGTTTGCCATGAACTTTGCTAATAGAAGCACCCATTGGGATACTCCTCAAAAGTTCAGGGAGATGCAGATGACAGGAATGAGCCCAACGGAAATACTATTTCTGATATTTCTTTATTCATTGGATTGCTGTGCCATATCTTTTTTATTTTAACTGTGCCTTGTATTATGTTTTATTTAAATTGGTTCTCTAATGATTCCTTTCAAGAAGTTATTCCTACATGTAAGACTGAAGTGGTGATTTTTATGGATTTGAGTATTTCGTTTACTGCACACATCTGTATCATTATTTTAAGAACCACGTCACTCTACACTTCATCAAAAGATCTCTGTCTTCCAAGGTGAACTAGATGGAAAATCGAATTAATACATCTTAAGCTGGCAATGCATTTAAAAACCTCATGTTATAATTACAAGATTTGGCTGAAAGTTAAATTGCAATGTGCATACATGGAGACCTAAAATCAAGTGCACAGAGGCTCTATGTGTTCTCATGCCTTAGATTTATATGTGATAAGATTTATCAATATAAGTACAGTCTAAGAAAAGATACCTCAGGATTGGTCTGTGAATATGTCACTTTACCTAAGTTCATCTCAGTTCAATTTGTTCATGTGTCTCTGCTGGAAAAGGAAGTTCAAACAGTACTGGTATATTATGGAAATTATATAGACTGGTAGTCAAAAGAATTAGAATTACCACTAAATAGTCGAGTGACTTTAGGTAAGTCACTTAACCTCTCTAGTTCTCATTTAAACCAAATGGACCTCTTCGAGTCATTTCTAATGTGAACATTTGGTGATATGATGAGATCTAACTTTTAGAAAAATTGTGAGTTGGGGCTGCTCTGCACAGTTCCTGCCCCTCTGGGATCTAGGCCTTTTGTTCCTCACTCTTAGAGCCACTCTGTTGCTAACCAACTACCTACTCTAGAAAAATATCACAGCAAGGATTCAACAGTGATGAGGGAGTTATACTAAAACATCTTTTATATGACGCAATAGGATAAGCCCAAAACATGTTGTTTCTTCTCTGGAGGCGCCTCCCAGGCCTCCCCAGCTAAACCCTTGGTCTTATCCATTTCCTGGTTCTTCTTCTGTATCTGTTTACCTGAACTTCCCCTTTCAAATCTACTTCCACCTCCAGATTGACGTCCAAGATGATATCTGCCAATGGAGACAGAGAAGGGTTCATAAAGGAAAGTAAGCAAAAAAGTTGAGATTTAGTCCAACTTGGAAAAAAGCCCACAAAAGCAAAAATGAAGGTCCTGTACTCCCCCTACCAACATGAAACCCAGCTTTCCTCTAAAAGCTCAACCATTTTCCATAATCACGATCTTCTATTAACAGCTCACATTTTCTCCAGAAGACCCATTTTTCTCTCTGTTCTTCACATCAAATGTACATTCCATAATGCAGTTATCCAACTATGAGCTGACTCCTTTAGAAACTGCCAGAATTTCTCTTTCTACTTTCCTTTTGTTTCTAAGAGCAGTTGTGGATTGGTACAGACCCAAAGTAGGAGTTGAAATATGCATCACATCATTTGTCATGTTACAAAGGAAGCAGCAGAGGTACCAGAAATGAAGAACAGGAAATTTCTGATAAACAGCTCTGATGGTTATCTACAAGCTGAATTGAATCATAGACACCAGGGTTTGAAATTGCATTTTGAATTGCAGGATTAGAGGTAACTGCCTCCCACCTATGTGATAATGTCAATTTAATTCAAAATTTGAGTGTGGTTTCATAGGCATTTCATTTTGTGGTAGTGCCAGAGAACATTTATTTATTTCTCAGGCTCCTATGGAGCACATTTGAGTTTGGAAAAAGAAATGGACACACACACACACACACACACACACACACACACACACACACACCTGGGTGCCCCTGATATAGATACTATCATGGTTATTAATTGTATTTGGAAGTAAAATGAATGAAGTTACCTTTTTATATGCTCAAGATTCATCAATAATGAAAACATGCAACTCATGGATTCAGCACTGTTATCAAGCAGTTTAAGCCTTTTCTCCAATATAGAATAAGAAATTAGAATGGATGCTTCTCTCCTGAGTTTGCACTGCACAGACTAAGTAAAGATTGTTTAATTCATGCACCTCTCACAGGTCCTTTCTCTCTTTCATTTGAGAGTAGAAAAGTCCATAATTATTTCAGAATCTGAAAGGAGGGAAAGTGGAGGGGAACAGTGAGGTCCTGGAGAACTTAAAATCTTTGCTGTTCCCCAGACCGACCCTGGTTTGTGCCCCCTCATCATGGGAGTAGCTCTTGTCATCATTTCAAGAGACAGCGGTCTTGCTTCTGCAGACTCATAATTCTATTATCTATCTGTTCTTGGGAGGAAAAAGCAGATGGAGGCTTAAAAACTAAGTGTCCCTGCACTCCTGTCTCTTTGTTCTTCATTCTTATCCAGGCAGGAAGGTGATAGGACACTTTGTCTCTAGCAAAGGGATATTTTCAGATACTGAGGTGTTGCCCGAGATGACTGGTCAAAGAAGTAAAGAAAGAAGGAGAAGAGGAGGATCCCCTGTAACTGGTTGCTGCTTCCCCCACAGGCCTGTGCATTGATAGACCTCCCTTCTCTCGCATCTTCCCTGCCTCTCCTCTCCCAGTTACTGTCTCTCTTTTTATGCTCAATTTGGCCCTTCAGAGTAAGAGGTCAGTATGTTTTCACACTTGGGAAATCTCATTCAAGAATTTTTGTCAATGGACAAGTCATAAGAAGCCATTCCATTTTAGGACTGGTTGACGTCACTAAAGAGGCGATAAATATCTGTTGATATAATTGGATGTGAGATTCAGTGTTGAGATAGCAAAAATTCTGCCCCTGGTTCCCTGTCAGGGCCCTATGATTTATGCAGGAGCAGAGGCAGCACGCAATCGAGCTGTCAAGAGAGCGTCAGCTTATTAGGCAAATGCTGCGTGGTTTCTGAAGAGGGTCGACACTATAAAATCCCACTCCAGTCTGCGGTGTGGAGAAACTCAGAGCTCAAGTCTGTTGAGAGACTGAAGAGAAAGAGAAGAGAGAAAGAAAAAGACAGTGGGAACAGAAGAGAAAACCCCTGAAAAAGCCTCGGAGACGTCCCGGGGGTGAGCAGCACCCGGCTCACCTGCAGAAGAGCCTCAGAAGGTAGGGAGCGCCTGGACGGAAACGCGCCTCCAACTTCGCACTGCCTGAGCTGCCACGGTGCGCGCCGGCGGAGCCGCTGCCGCTGTCCCTGTCCCTGTCCCTGTCCGCGCGCGCGCGTGTGTGTGTGTGTGTGTGTGTGTGTGTGTGTGTGTGTGTGTGTGTGTGTGTGTGTACGCGCGCGCAAAAGCAAACTTAGACGGCTACTCGTCGTTACCCAAACTGCCACTTACTCCTCGCTGGCTGTGTAGATCATGCCCCCATCTCTCCCGACTCCAGAAAGGACACCGGGGCAGGGATAGATAAATAGGAGGAGGCAGCAGTTCTCAATTGGGAGGAAAACACTGAAACACCCGGAAAGGGGTGGGGGTGGTGTTAGAGCGGCTGAGATCTGAAATTTGTAGAAAATCAATTTTTTTTTTGGGGGGGGGATAGTTAGAAAGAGGATTCAGGGACCCTCCCTTTGGGAGTCTTGGAAGGAGAAGGGTCATTCCAGCCTGGCGAGGGGCTGGGCTTTGGTGCCAAGCCCTGCAGGCGTCCCATTTCCTGTGTCCCCTCACTCCAACTCTAGAAGTCCTTGTTCTGGAGCTTCAGCACCGCGGACAGCGCCTTCCCAGGCCGCCGCCACCCCACCCCCGCGCCCCACCATCCTGAGCCGCCTTTACGGGTGTCCTGTAGGAAGATCCTCCACCCGCCAAGTTCACCTCTCAGTTAAGCTAAACTCTGACCAACTCTTTCTCTCTTTCCTTCTCTCATTTCAACCCTCTACCCACGTCTGTGCCGCAGCTAGCGCCCCTAACATGAGACTGCCGCTGCTCGTGTCCTTGGGCGTCCTGCTGGTGGCTTTCTTGCCCTGCCCGCCATGCAGGGCCCTCCTCAGCCGGGGGCCTGTCCCCGGCGCCCGGCAGGACCCACAGCTTCCCCAACCTCTGGATTTCTTCCAGCCGCCGCTGCAGCCCCAGCAGCCCCAGCAGCCGCAGGCTCGGCCAGTCCTGCTCCGCATGGGGGAGGAATACTTCCTCCGCCTGGGTAATCTCAACAAGAGCCCCGCTGCTCCCCTGTCGCCTGCCTCCTCGCTTCTCTCTGGCAACAGCGGCAGCCGCATTTCCCCGGACGAGGTGGCTGCCAACTTTTTCCGTGCGTTGCTGCAACAGCTGTCGCTGCCCCGGCGCCCGCTCGACAGCCCTGCGGGTCCCGCGGAGCGCGGCGCCGAGAACGACCTCGGTGGCCGCCAGGAGGCACCGGAGAGGGAGAGGAGATCCGAGGAACCTCCCATCTCGCTGGATCTCACCTTCCACCTCCTCCGAGAAGTCTTGGAAATGGCCAGGGCTGAGCAGTTAGCGCAGCAAGCTCACAACAACAGGAAACTGATGGAGATTATTGGGAAATGAAATGGTGCGTTTGGCCAAGAAGATTCTGCATTTAACACAAAAATTACAAAATAAAATAAAATAATACAGTATTCTGTACCATAGCGTTGCTCTGATACCATTTGTTTATTTTTATATAGCTTGAAACAGAGGATGTACAGCAAGAGTGCCTATACTCCTTAATCAGCATGCACAAAGTGAATTCACGTGCAGTAAGGCAACAAAATGTTATTTGTATTGCCTACTTTTAGTTTCCATTTCCAGGTATGTTTAATGGTGTTTTAGAGTATAGACACAGAAGGAAACTTTTTTTTTTGAAGAAGCAACAGCAGACAGAAGTCACCAAATTGACTTTGTTGTGGTCTGAGCCAAAGAGAATGTCCTTCTCTTGGGTGGGTGAGACAAAATCTGTAAGCTCTTTGAATCCACGTTTCCTTGTAAATGTTTCAGTAATAAAACATCTTTCCACTCCTCAGTCAATTTGTTTGTGTAAGAGAATGTTCAATATTTATATTTTTAATAAATGCTACAAAGGTAATCATGAGTTTATTTCTTCTCTTCAATGCTAGCAAGGGAAATACTCTCAGCTCCTGGCTTCCTCCAAGCTGACTTCAGCACAAGAAAAAACAAAACTCTGCATTTTATTTTCTGCAACAAATACAAACGTATCTGTGGCTTATACAATCCTGCAATTGTCTTGGGCTCATCTCTGTACCTCAGATCACTCCTCTGAGATTGAGTTATATAATTTAGGAAGTTTCTTCCAGCTCTAAGACTTAGTAATTTTATAAATGGAAGGTCGATTCATAATGGAAATAATTTAACACTGATTAACTATAAGATGTAAAATAATTGAGGAAGGCTGGGGAAGGAGGAAAGGAAAAGAGAAGAGTTGAGGAAGGGCATTTCTCCAAACTATAGGGCCAAAATGCTGTCTTCTTTTTTTTTCTATGAGAAAGGCTCATATATTACCAAGCTATTACTTTGCTACCACAAAATATTTTTTCTAAGCTATTTTCCAGTGCCTATTTCTAATAGGAGGAACTTGATAGTCTCTCCACTTAAAACAACTAAATTTAGTTGCTATAAAATGGCTCTTAGGAAAAAAATTTTTTGTAAAGAATATTTTAACTTTAACAAATTCCCAAATACCCTCCTCATGTCTGTCAACTCTAATCACTTTAATTTTTAGAAATATAAACTATCTCTAGTTACTTCTAAAATCAAACAGTACATCTAATTAGTTTTACAATGCATTCACCTTTGGTAGTTTAGTCATAACTTAAAAAATTCAATTGACTGTTTACTGCTTCAAAATTAATTTGGATACATGAAGATCCTTCATCCCTTGGGACCCTTTAAATATCCTTGACTAATGGAATAATCAGATGACATAAAACACTGAATAAATCATTATAAGACAAAGTTGTTAAAAACAGCATTTATTTAAGATTTTATACAGAATAAAGTTTATGTTCTAAAGGAGGCATTGTGGTGGGACAACTAAAGCGTGATTTAAATATATATACACACATATAATGTATATCATGTGTATGTATATTTAAATAAATGCAGTTCTACAGTTCAGCAGATTGGTGCCTCAGTAGATACATGAGAAAGTAGACAGTTACTATTGAAAAGTCCTTTTCAGTTAAAGTACTGGATATCTACATATTAAAACTAAGATTAGAAAAATGTCACAAGAAATGTCTTAGACCTTCAGCCTCTGGACTATGAAAGTGTCATCAGAGTCAAAGAATATTTCTAGATATACATTCAGTGACATATATTATGAAAAAGAGGAACCCTTTATGAAACATTTCATACCTTTGGTCAATGATTTACCTTTTGTCCATATATTGATAAATCAGTCATTTCTGAATTAATACTGAATTTCACTGACCATCTGCATTGTTTAAAAGAAAATAATAAAAGCTACTACGATATAATAATAAAAGCCAGTGCCTATAAGAGATGAGAGTGCCCACTTTTTTCAAAACTTGCCATTTTTACTGATGCATGCACACACATACCACACCTATACATCCGTCATAATGTTTCCCACGCAATAAGAGATTTGCATAAGCTCAAGTTTCTTTCTTCCAATGCTTTTTGCAACTATTTTTTCAAAATATTGTTTTCCCTTAATGTATCAGATAAGTCATCTGGAATTAAAGGGTTTTTTTGTTTGTTTGTTTGTTTGCTTTTTACAGAAATCCTGTCCAGAGGTCCCTTTAATCATCTGCATAATATTAATTTCATCTAGGTTCCCTGCTGCCTGTGTACATCTTGGCCAGGCAGACAGAGGGGCAGCAGTTGGAATGAACATCATTCTTTCAGGGAGTTCAACCAGGAAAAGGAGAAGATGTGGCGAGCTGGCTCAGAATCAGCTCCATTCCCACTCCCTGAAGCTGCAGCCTGTCCCTGGAGGGGAGGGTCCTCAAATCCAATCTGCAACAGAGAAAATCTGAATCAGAGGAAGAAGAGGCTAGTCATTTTTGGGTTGGTCCACTCACTTTTCTACTGAGGAGACAGGATCATCATCATAATAATTACACAGAACATAATTATTATTAAGGATGAGAAGCAAGCTTGTTATCTTGGCCATGGTCAAGAGCCATGAAAGTAATTCACACTCATGATCCAAAAAGGGGCAATAGTAATGCATGCAGCAGAGGGAAGTTCTTGGGAAACAGGCTATCTACCTTTTTGTTTCTAAGTCCACTAGTACATTATTTACTGAAATGAAAGTTTCATTGAAATTAATAGGAATTTGGATTTAGAAAAGTCTGCAAAATAAATAAAATCCTATTTGAAATGACATTACTACATCACATGATGTTATGGGACATAATCTCTTCACTGCTAAAGTAAGAATTACTACTAGGATGTGAATATATACATATAGTATAATTTTTGCAAAAATGCAGGCTTAGTTTTGATCAAATCACGAGGCCATAAAATCTAATAACATCAATATTTATAAAGCAATATCTATCTTTTATATAGATATCTATAGATACCTGACAGATACAAGTTGTAATTTTGAAGTAATTGATCAATCTAATCTCATAAGTCAAATTTATTTATGTCGTGAGTTTAAAAAATGGTAACTTGATGGAATGAGGGACAATCGTAAAGTCTTGTTGAAATGCAACTTGATGTATAAACTCAAACTCCTTACATTGAAAGGGACTATGACAAACATAGGTCTTCCTAGGGGAACTACCAAAGACAGACTAACATGTTCTGATGATTTCACTGGTAAAATTATCCCAGCGGATTAAAATGCCACTGATTTCAAAGCAATGAGGTAGGCGCATGCATTCAACTCAGAAGCCCCGGGTGATTTTATGATGCTGCTATATGAATGGAAAACACTTGGCACAGGCAAAGCAGAACTTTGATAAGTATGTAGTTTTGTTGCTACTCGAAATACTTTGATGTGAAAAATGAGTGCCTGTCCTGTACTTTACCAGATTTGACCCTAAATATATGTTTTGGGGGAGTGTTTCAAGTTCAGTAAAATTATCCCAAATCCTTATGGCTTTGAGATATCCCTCCCACAGCCATGTTGCTCTCTGAAAGAAAGAAGGGCCATGAAATCATATTCACCATGGTAGAATAAAACTGAAGCATGTTGTTTTCTATGAAGGAAATAGTTGAGACATCAGGTGCAATTGGGCTTTTATAAAAAGGCTGCTATTAGATTCTGCTGGTAATGGGTTAACTACCTCAATGTTCTTGAAGTTGAGGTGGAAAAAACATCATTTTTTAAAAAAATTTTTACAAGTGTTTATTTGAGCCAAACTGACAACATTGCCAGGAAGCAAGATCTCAAATGCTCAATAAACATCATCTCGACAGAATCCTGTGCCTATTTACGCACATCAAATCGTTCTCTTCCCCACAATAGTCACCTTACTCTTACAAATCATTAAAAAAAACAAAAACAAAAACAAAACACCTCAAGTAATCTGAGCATATCATTGATGTGTAAAAAACTTTTTTTCTAACCATACTACATGAGTGAATAGTGAATCTGCCTAGATGAACAGACCATGAGTGTCCATTTTGAGGCCTCTTTTCCTTGAAGGCAGTTTGTAATCTTGAAGAAACTATGTGGCTGCTGTTCTAAAATATCTAAAGGGTGAAACTAGTTGGGTAAGGTATTATCTGCAGAGAGATAAAGTCTTCGTGAAACTGCTGGTTGCTAACAAACCATTTGGGATTGCTTTTGGAATTTCTATGTATTTTTTGTGCTTTTCTGTACTTGAGGTAAAAATCTATCTTCCATTTAAAATGTTTTAGCTGTTAATACTCTACAGCCTTCAAAACTTGGTATTAAACAGTTAGGGTTTGCTGCTTTCACACTCTCATGTTCTCAATCAGTTATTAGATTTTCCTCCAAACAATATGGACATTATCTTTCAGAGAAGAAAGGCCAGTGCCAGAGAGGGGCCAAGAGCAGAGATTATCCTGAGTATCTCTAGGTGATTACACCACCTCCTTGGTCTTGTTTACGTAAATGTGAGGACCTACCAACCATCTCGACAAGGAAGTTTTATGCAGAGTCTTACCCTGGTTCTGAATCTCAGATTAACTGCTTATTAGCTGTATGACTCAGATAAGTCACTGAACCTCTCAGAGCCTTGGTTTTCTCTTTTGTAAAACAGTAATGAGATCCTATCTCACAAGACTGAAGTGAGGACTGAATAAATAAAATAATACACCTAATCCACTTGGCACATGCCTCACTTATATAAGTTGTTTTATAAATGTTCATTTCTACCTTCTTCCCTCCTTTCCTCCCTTCCCCCTTTCCTTCCTTCTTTTTTACATCAATGAAGAGGCTCCTCTGCCATGTAGAATGACCTGGGGATTGTTTATGAGGAACTATATACAACAGCAATGACCCCTCAATAATGAAAGACAATTATACTTGCAATGTTCACATTTCCAGAATTAAATATCATTCATAAGATTTAGTTCCTTTGTCATGTTGTAATCATGGTTATCCAAGACCCTGTCTAGTGTGTCTCTAAGTGGCTCAACTTTATATATGGCTTTCTCATAAAGGAAGAATGAGTTAAAGATTTAGAAACCTCCTTTTTATAAACACAGCCCATTGAATTGTAAGCAGATATTTTTCCTATAGCCTTCCCCCAAAGGAATTTTATATATGTAGTCATTTAAATAGTTTTCCAAATGCTGGCTTTCTTCTTTCACAGGAAGTGCTATTTTGGGAGAGTAATGATATCTCATGAAGCTGAACAAAGGACAGAGATTGGTAAGCACTAATCTCTTCTACCTGCTTTTGAGCTTGTCCTGCATTCCATTTTAGTTCGAGGTGTATGAAAAAGGTTAAGAAAAGATTATTAGTCCCATCTCATTTCTAAATTTGACACATTTTCTTTAGGTAACAAACTAAATGAACAAACTTACAACCATCACTTAGCACTGTGCTCTATCACTATGGGGCTTCAGATAATTTGAGAAATATGAGTTTTGGTCATAAATAAAACCAGAAAATGGAACAGGGAGGTAGCATTTTCCCTCTGTCTCAACTGCGAGACCCAAATTACTCAAGATCCACAAAAGACCAGCAGAAAGGAGTGATATACTTTTGCTTAGAGGAAAGACTGTTTTTCTCGGATGAACTTGACCAGGAATTCGAGTATTCATGAACCAGACTCACCAGAAACACAAAATCTTCTTTTAATTTCTTTCCTGTTACTAGCAAATGTCCTTTGAGAGGAAAAAAATGTATGCCAGATTGTGGCACTAGGGTATCATTTCACTGCACAGAAGAGCAGGGTGATGAGAGATGCTTCCACCCAGAGCTGTGTGACATGCAGGCATCACCTGGACAAGTTATGTCACCTAGAGTCATTTCTTGTTAATAGGGATTAAGGAGCATATATTCTACCAGAGACTTGTGGACATGTTAGCCACTATGCCAGGCCATTTAAGAGGATGTTAGGGGCAATGAGCTAATTTGTGTTCGGTCCCTCGCACTTGGGCCTCTATCCCTCTCGGCTACTGTGAACACCAATCACAAATTCAACCTGACAGCAGGATCTGGTTACCACTGCATATTAACTGCCAGCTTTCCTAGGCCAATTCAAAAGAACTCTTGCCCATCTATAATAAAATCCATTTGCTTTAAAGGAATGTGGATAGGAGGGGTAAGGCTAAGGTTGAGGCTGCTGAATGGGCAACCACTGTGTGTCTACCCTGCACCTGCTAGGCTGGGTCAAAGAATCAAAGCCAGATGC